GCCGTGTGCGCCTGCCACGGGCCCCGGGCAAGCCTGCAGGCAGTGGCTGTGTCCCCCACAGGCCAGGGCAGTCAAAAGGAGCGATGGATGTCCGTGCAAGGAGAGGAGGGATGGAGGCAACCATGCTCTGCAGAGCCCCTGCGTCGAGCCGGGACGGAGGAGCGAGAGTTGCTGCAAAGCCAAAGATGGGCAGATGCAGCAGCTGGTGAGATAGGGACCGGGCAGCCCAGAGCCACCCTGTGCTGTAGCTTCCCTGGCAGGCAGGGGCTGGCAGAGGGGGGGGCGGGGGGGCCCCCCCCCGGGGGGGGGCGGGGGGGGGGGGGGGGGGGGGTCCCCCGTGATCTTCCCCCCGCCCCGGGATCTGCCTGTTTGGGAGCCATTCGTGTCATGAGTTTGGGCAGGCCTCAGCCAAGGTGTCCACGGTCCCTTGTGCTTTGGGGTCACTCCAGAGGACCCCAGAAACTTGCTGGGTGTGTAGGAATAGAAAATATTTTGGGGGGGTGGGGGGAAGGGGGCCCCAAATCCTCCCCCTACCTTCGTGCTGGGGGTGCTGACCCCTCTGCCTCCCCCTCCCAGACGCCTACAACATGGCCAAGCTCCTGTGTGACAAGTACTACATGTCCTCGCCCGACCTGGAGATTGAGGAGGTGAACGGTGAGGCCGGGCCGGAGGGGATCCCTGCAGCAGGGGATTCTCGGGTGGCTCGTTTGGGGTTGGGGAGGATGACGATGCTGACAGCCGCTCTCCTCCTCCCTGCAGCGAGCAACTCCCAGCAGCCCATCAGCATCGTCTACGTCCCCTCGCATCTCTACCACATGCTCTTTGAGCTCTTCAAGGTAACCCCAGCCCTGTCAGGGGGGGCTGGTGGGGGCAGGAGGGAGGCTGGGGGCAGGCGGCCGGTGGGCAGGAGGGGAGCGGGGGGGGGGGCCCCTAAACCACAGCCGGCTCCGTGCCCGCAGAACGCCATGCGAGCCACCGTGGAGAGCTACGAGAACAGCCCGCGGCTGCCGGCCATCAAGGTGATGGTGGCCCTGGGCCAGGAGGACCTCTCCATCAAGGTGTGTGAGAGACCACTGGCTCCATCCTGGGGGGGTCCCCGAGCCCAGCCTGGGGCATGCTTAACCCGGGGGGGGGGCCAAGAGCAGGGTTGTCACCCCCCACCGCATCTGGCAGATGAGCGACCGGGGCATGGGCGTCCCCCTGCGGAAGATCGAGCGTCTCTTCAGCTACATGTACTCCACCGCTCCCACCCCGCAGCTGGGCACCGGGGGGGCCCCCCTGGTAGGTGCCCCCCTGGTAGGTACCATGGGATCCCCGCACGGCCCTGGGGGATGGGGGACAGGGCGCAAGTCTGCTGGGGGTGGCATCGGGACGTTTGGGGGTGCCTGAGGGTGGCTTGGGGACATTTCAGGGTGGCTAGAGTGGCACGGGGGTGCTTTGGGGGTGGCATGGGGAGGTTTGGGGGTGCCTGGGGTGGTATGGGGCAGTTTGGGCTTGGCGTAGGGACTTTTGGGGACATTTGAGGGTGGCTTGGGGACATTTGGGGAATGCCTGGGGGTGGTGTGGGCACATTTTGGGGTGCCTGAGGGTGGCACGGGCATGCTTGGAGGTGGCATGGGGACACTTTGGGGTGCCTAGGGGTGGCATGTGCATGCCTGGGAGTGGTGTGGGGACACTTGGGGGTGGCATGGGGGTGTTTGGCTTGGCATGGGGGGGCTTGGGGGTGGCATGGGGACACGGGGGCGGCATGGTGACTTTTGAAGGTGCCTGGGGAGGTTTGAGAGTGGCGTGGTGATCACTGGAGGGGGCCTGTGGGC